TTAATATAGACACACATCTTCTACCTCAGCCTCAGGATTATGGTGGTGCGTGCTCCGTCTGGGGATGTGAATAAGGATCAAAATGCTGAAATGTAAAAGTTATCTGTGCTGCCTGTGGTTCCCCTCACTGCTGCTGCTGCTCCGGGTGAGTCTGCTCTCTGATGCATGCCTTTATGGTCAAGTTTCAAATGCAACATCGAGGTTGCATTTTTGTGCAACAAATAGTGAGAAAATGTGTAATTTAAGAGCAGTTATTCATCCCGAGCCTCATCTTAATGCAAATGTATTGTTGTTTGTTAAAAATTTTATTTTTAATTGCTGTTTTGACGATGAAGGAAATATTACTTGCATGTTCGTTATTATACTGTTATAGAGAAAAAACTCTCAACAAGTAATTCAACAACCACTGTAGTCCATCACTCTTGCAATTTTAGCACATATCATGCAAAATATGGTGTTCAAACAGTGTTTTTAAATTTACCGTCAACATTTGTTTGAGCAATAAAAAATTAGATACTTTATCGTAATGAAGAGAGACTTTCTTATTGTATCAAGAAATGTTCGTCTTAACAACAAAAATTAGTAAACTATTTAGTTTATTAGTTTCCTCAAAAAAGGACAGTAGAAATAAATCCTAAAGTGAATTTGAAGTCATGTTGTATTAATATTATTTAACTGAGGATAAGAAGCTTATCTCAAGAAGAAAACCTTCTTATAACAGACACATTTTTGGTAGAATTCTTTTGAAAGGTAGTGTGAAGTAGGTGAAAGCGGTGCATGCTTCTTTAAAATATTAAACAGTATATATATGATCATTGAACCACTTGTAACCGGGGACAGTACAGCCAGTCAAACTGCGAATCAACGCCAAACTGCAACTCAACGCAACATATATAGCCACATTTTAAGTTACCTTATCAAAACATTAGCTAATTATTATTTGGAGTATTTTTTGGAGTTTAGCAGGAGGCTATCGGTTAATGCTAAGCTAGGATACGGATAACTGTACTGGACACAGATGGAGAAACAGAAAATATCCCTAAAATGGTGGACTGTTCTTTCAACACAATAACATGTTTAGATGGTTTCCCCTGACGAACATTAACTGACATGATGTCTGGATTATTAGTGTGATTGTAGATTTGATCAATGTGTAGATTTCAGCCTCTTGCAGGGTTTGAACAGAGCCCTATGTTACACTGATATTTATGGAGTTTAATTTCCCTCAGTCGTCATTTCCCTCTCTTCCTGTCTGTCTATCTGTCTGTTCGTCTCTCCTCCCTGCAGTATTGTTTGTCTCTGAACTCTCTCAACCTCATTATCAGGGACAAATTATTGTATTTTCTGCCTGAGATGTTCACATACATGCACAAGGCCAAAGTTCAGTTGAACCCAGAAAGTGATAATAGACATTAGTTCTTTAAATAGCTACAGCTTATTAACTAACGTAACAGTACATTTCATGTTTCTTGGCAGCAACATAAAAGATCCATTGTTTTCTGGTTTTACAGAGTTTTTTTTATTGTAACTAGAAGAAAAAGTTCAGCAGTTTACAGACTCTTTTAGTGAGGATGAATCCAAATACGCTTTAAAAAATACTCCATTAAGCAAAACACATTGAAAATGTTTATTTAAAGGTCCAGTGTGTCACATTGAGGAAGATCTATTGTCAGAAATATAATATTCATAGGTGTGTTTTCATTACTGTATAATCACCTAAAAAAGACAATCATTGTGTTTTTGCTACCTTAGAATGAGACGTTTTTACCTACAGAGGGAGCGGGTCCTCTTCTGGCGGAGTCCGACATGTTGAACCGCCATGTTTCTACAGTAGCTCATAATGGACAAACTAAACACGGACTCTAGACAGTGGACTTTAAGTAAAGTATGTTTTATATAATCGGAAAATTTACTTAATAAGTATCAAAAGTAAAAGCACTCAATGCTTTAAAGCAGCAAGTAGCAGCTAGCCTGGCTTCAAATACACCGTCCATGATTGGTTGTATTTGTTCGGGGCCAGTGACACTGGATGTCATTAGGGGAACTAGGAGGAATCAGAGGAACCTGTTTCTTTCACAGATTATCTGTCTAATGTTTTACTGTCAGGATAAAGTGAAAGTTTCAGCAAATATGACAAAAAGTATTTTTTATAAAAGTTACCTACTGCAGATTTAAGTCACATTCTTCATACATTGTGAATTATTAGTCAGTCTGAATCACTCTTTTCTACCTCAGACAAGCAATAAACCTTTCATACGATATTTTGAGTTTAGAATTTTTCCATTTAGGCTTTAATGTAGTTTGTATTTTTATGTCATGTTTAGTTTTCTGTGTCAGTTCAGTTTCGTTTCAGGAAGTTAGAACCCCCACCCTGGTGTTTGCTCGTTTCAGTTCAGTTTTTATTGTTAAAACATGTTTGGTTTTAGTTTTTACTAGTTTCATTATTAGTTTCTCAGGGGAGTTGTCTGATTAGGTTTTACATACAAACACATTGAGTCACAGTTGTGTTTGCAGATTTGACCAAACTGACTAAAACTAACGACATTTCCTGTATATTTTTATTAATTAATTCTTATGTTTTTCACTCCTAGTTTTAGTTTCTAGTTTAGTTTTAGTTAACTATGATCACTGACCTTCTGACATGTGAACGATGCTGCAAACGGCTGCAAGCTGACAGATTTTGTTGCATGAGCGAGGAGAGTCTGAGATGCTGGAAGGACGTTTTGATAAACTTTCTCATTATTAAAACACACGCTGCTCCTTCAAGGATGAAACTACAAACTTTATTAGTCTACGGGTGGATCTCAGATCTGTGGTGATTTGAATTAGAAAGATTCTCTTTTAGTGCTTCATCGTACTGATGTCGGTGTGTTGTTATAAGGAGTTCGGTCTA